TGTATTATTAACCTATAGTCAACATTATTGAACATGTTGTATTCAAATGTATTGAACAATTGAGTTACCTGTATTCATCCAATGGCAGTTAAATTCAACTGTTTCAACCAGCTGTCCAGATTTGTATTCAACTGTATTACAGTGTATTCCTCCAAAGTCAATTGAATTAAACTGTATTATTAACCTATATTCAACTATGTTCAACATGTTGTATTCACCTGTATTAAGGAATTGATATAGTTGTATTCAACTATACTAAGATACTCTCACAGCCACTTCATATATATTTATATATATAAAAATACTTCAACTAAATAAATTCAGAAAATATTAACGAAAGTCATTCCACAATATATTACTTCGAAAAAAGAATTTATTATAGCTGATAATGTCATAATAAGTGTTGAGAAATTGTCGAGTCACCAATACATGTCAGAATACAACTATTTATTACGTGGAGCATTCCTACAAGTTCGCTTGTTATGTCCTCCCTGCCCACATATGCTACATGAATGTTGATTTTTCGGCAACAACAATTCACTTAAATTTTTGTCGCGCTTCTTCTTTGGCCTTCCAGGAGGTCTTTTCCATTTGGGTGGTAGTACAACCTCCTCTGCAACATGCTCTGGTATATTCCAGTCATTTTTGTCCGGTAGCGGGTACACTGGCACATCGTATGTCATTACAATTGTACTTGGCTTGTAATAGCTAGAGCAATATTCTTCAGGCATTAAAAACTTGCTCTTCAATACAGCCCAGGCATGTGGGCATGGCAATTCATCAATTTGGAATCTCCCACAAACACATTTTCTCTCGAGCAGGCAGACTGTGTAATTCCTCCCACCATCGTTAACAGTATGTAAGTATTCAGTTGAGGGTACCACCTACATTTAAAAACAGAAATATAAGTTTTGAACACATTTACATGAATTAACAAATATATACTACTGAGTTAAATGGTTACTATCAACTTCAAAAATTGCAACTTCATCCAATTTCAGTTAAATTCAGCTGATTCCAGCAACTGTATGCAACTGTATTCAACTGTATTACTCTACAGTCTGCATTTGTATGCATTTGTATTCAACCTTTTTTTAGCAACTGTATTCAGGTATTTCCAATCAATTTAAACTGTATCAATCACCTGAATTCCATTGTAATCATTATCACGTGCATACAGTCTTAATAATAACATGTATTTAGCTGTATTCATCTATATTATTTACTAGTTCAAGCAAATATTCATAAAAATGAACGGGTAGTTCTGCCTAAAAAAAATTGTATTCAGTTGTATACAGCAATGCCATAAAAAATTAACTTACAGTCATACGGGTACACATGGTCCCATTCAACTCCAGCATTTCCTGGTATTTTTTCCCAAGCGTCTTGTATGTCTGAGTAGCTTCTTTACGGTTACTACAATTCCAACGACCAAACATCTTCCTAACTTCTTCGAGGAAGTCATATATTGGCAATTCCCTTGCTAAAACTAGTGCTGCATTGATTGACTCAGCGATATTTGACGTCATTGTCCATCCCCTATTAACAAGTGCATACAACCTAGCTCACTTTTCGTAACCAGCTAACTCTAAGTATTCTTTCACCCTAATATCTACCTTCTCAACCTTCTCCATCAGACTATCAAATTCAGTTTGTGTGTATGTTTTTGCCATCGAGAAGTATATCTCACTCAACTTGGCATGGCTCTTTTTGAATTTCTTGTATACGTTATTCCATAGATGCCATATGCAAGCACAATGCGGTAAATCCGGATACACTCTCGATACAGATTTAATGATGCTCTCATTTCTATCTGAAACAATGCACATGTTTTCCCTTACATCGTATGCTATCTTGAATTGCTCAAAGAACCACGTCCAAGCAGCATCGTTCTCTAAATCAATAACACCGTATGCTAGTGGCAATATATGACCTGTTTAATACAATTGAATATAATTGTTTTTAAATACATGTTTTCCAATGCTTTAAATATTAACAAATTGTATTATTATTGAGGTACTCACCTGCACCATCCAACGTGCTTGCAGAAACGAATGTCCCGGTGTAGTAGGATTTTAGATGACTTCCGTCCACTACAACAATTGGTCTACAATGATCAAACCCCCTTATAAATGCATACAATGATATATACACGTACATGAATTCATTCTTTGACGATTTTTCCATTCTTATGTGAGAACCTGGATATGTCTTATCCATTGTATATAAGTATCCTGGTAATTTTTTGTATGAATCAGCCGGTTCACCTCTAAGAAAATTCATTGCCTTTTCTTTAGCCCTCCACGCCAACATGTAGCTAACATCAACACCTAGATCTGATTTCACGTCATCAATAATGTCCCTCGGAGTGTATTTCCTCTTATGGTTTGTAAGCTTTGTCCTTATAATACCACTTATAAGGCTGCTACTAGCTTGCCGCTGCTCGTACACTTTATCCTTCAGCGGACATGTATGGTTGTCATTGAATTCTCTCACCTTGAATAATTCCGATTTGTTAATGCTTGAAGCCTTAAACCTCCAATCACAATCTTCTGAAATACATATTAATGCATAGCTGGAAAGAAAAGTTCATACATCAGACAACTTAACGAATCTGACATATATACTTCCTATTCATAAAGTACCAAATTGATATCTGTGTATATGTAATTTTGTATACTAACGAATTCCAATATTGTTAGATGTGATTAAATACAATAAATACAACTAAATACATTCGTATGAATAATCAAACACTTAGTAACATTATAGACATAATATGAAAATAATCATAGCCACTGTTGTATTTTTTCAATAGTAAAATACACCTGAATACATATTATTAAGAATACTAAACAAATATAAATTTTCAAAGATGTTCATCATCTGGAGGAAACACACAACTACAACTAAATACAACAAAGTTAAACAAACATCAAACCTGACAGCATTAGACCGATCAACACGGAATTGAAACCTTTGAGCTATAGCATAATTCTTCATCACCTCTTTCAATGTAGCCTTATCCTTATAAACTTGTCCAGCCATAACCTCCTTTTGATTAGTTTTTGAAATTATCAAATCCTTGTGGAGTTCGAACACTCCAATCGCTTCTCCTGAATTGGCAAGTTCTATAGCTAGTGTATCATCTGTATCGGAATCGTACATTTGAACTGCTTCGTCTATCTGCACAATGTCGCCTTGATTTAAACCATCTCCGGAGATAAGCTCTTTTTCCATAGTTGTAATGCACAGAGGATACATCCCAAATTCTCTGTTCTCTTTTTTCAATTTTACATACACTCTGTAACCCATATCATTGTGTATTTCCATTGGCGTGCGATTGCCTTCAACATTGTATTGTATTTTAATGGTATTTGTGCTCAAATCTATACCCAGTTGATTAGAAATTGAACCAACTAGATCATTAAAGGAAGCATACTCCTTAATCAGTATTCCCTCAATGGAAAAGTCGATATAATTACCCTCATTGTTCCACTTTCCAGAATGACGCAACAAAACTGTCAAGCTTGCCATATATATAGAAGAGTTATACCTTCTTTTGTATATAATTTGTATCAATCGATAAGGAGGAGAAGAAAATCGCACAATATAGAAGCAAGTTGCTCTGTTTCTTCGCTTCTTTCACGTTTCTGTATTTCTGACTTTGCGAAGAATACAGATTGATGGGATAACTTTTAAGTTTGTTGAGTAAAATTAGGAAAATCAGAATTGATTTGATTTCCTTCCGTTTTTAACATCTTCGTCGACCCAGATATTGCACAGATACGTTACGTATTTAGCGCTACATACGTTTGAATACAAGTAAATACATATCAGGATTAACTGGATTTCCTTTTTGTACGCCGCTAATTTTTGTTGTATTATTAAATACACTACCTTAAATACATTAAATACATTATAGAATTGCATAAAAGATATCTATAGGACGTAATATAGCAAAGGGTTTCTATTAATGGCTAATTAGGACTAAAAGATGGTGCTTTGTGAAAAATTCTCAAATTTTAATAGCCCATGTTTTTTCGTAAAAATAGCATGGTATAGCCAGTTTTCGGACTGGTCATTCAAAAATAGCCAGCGTTTACGAAGTCAATGAAAAATTGTCACTATTTTGCTGCAACAGAGACCGGTCCAGCATAATATACTGGAGTTCGGTGCACCTGTGTATGAACTCCAGCATATTATGCTGGACCAGTATAATTTGCGGACTCCAGTATATTATACTGGACAATTATACTTGCTGGAACTCCAGTATATTATGCTGGAGTTCTAGTATACTTATGCTGGAACTTCAGTATAATATACTGGCGTATTTTTCGGGTTTTAAACAGTGTTTTCGCTCAGATTTATCTTTACATGAAAAGTGACTAAGTTTCGATTACTTTTGAAACTGGGCTATTTTTGAACGACCAGTTGTAAATCTGGCTATTTTTGAACTTCGGCCCAAACATATTATATTTAATAGCCCCAAATATCTATTTTGTATATTGTTTGTATAGTGACAGTCTATTTTGTATTTTTTTTTTGTATAATGACAGTCTATTTTGTATATTTTTTGTATGGTGACAGTCTATTTTGTATATTTTTTGTATAGTGACCATCTATTTTATATATATTTTGTATAATGACAGTCTATTTTGTATATTTTTTGTATAGTGACCATCTATTTTATATATATTTTGTATAATGACAGTCTATTTTGTATATTTTTTGTATAGTGACCATCTATTTTATATATATTTTGTATAATGACAGTCTATTTTGGATATACAGTCTATTGTATATAAATTGTATAGTGACAGTCTATTTTTTATATATTTTGTATAGTAACATGCTATTTTGTATATATTTTGTATAATGATAGTCTATTGTTTATATTTTGTATAGTGGTTGTTTATTTTATATATATTTTGTATAGTGACAGCCTATTTTGTATAGTGACAGTGTATTTTGTATATATTTTGTATAGTAATAGTCTATTTTGTATAGTGACGGTCTATTTTGTATCCCGAGCATTTTTATCTATCAACGTGTATAGATTTTTGCATTATGTATAAAAACGTATATATATTATTCTTTTACCTTAACCTTATCTATCCAACGTGTATAGACTATTTTGTATAAAAAATAATTAAGAAGCTATTGACATTTCTATTAAAACAAAAATCAGAGAACGGTAATGAACAAAAACAATAGGTCCACCTCACAAAAAGATTAAAGTAATTGTATTGAATCATAACTCACAAGACTCATGTTACTCTATTCAAGTTGCAATTATAGAGATGTTAAGGTGGTGCTTTGTCTTAGAATGAGATGAAAATAAATTTCCCAAAAAAATTTCAAAATTGAAGAAGTGTCTTGAAAAAATTTCAACACCTTTTGAAAACAAACATAATATGGTTGATATTGAACAGTGTTTTAAAAGGCGTTTTCAGGGCGAGGTGCACCAAAAATGCCCCGGGGCGATGGTGTGGGGTAAAAGTCTCAAGAGGCGTACGCCCAGCAATTCGGGGCGTATACCCAGGCGCTCCGGGTGCATTTTTTTAGTGAGACGTAAGCCTCAAAGATTTTTTCAAATTAAAATAAAATTTGTTGAATAAGTCTTTCATGTAATATCCAAATTTTCAAAATTCAGCTTGGTAATTACTCAAAAGTTTTAAAAGGAACTGAAATGCATTAAATTTAAAAATTAAGACCTTTTTTATTAATTGAAGCCCCAATTCATGGTCTTTCCCAATTCTTTATCTTGTCCGTGAGTCTGCTAATATCTCTCAAAAGCAACGAATATTCATTTTTTTTACAAATACAAAGAGAACTCCATTCTCCTTCAAAGCAGCAAATCCAAAGTTCAAATTGCAGGTTAATCATCCTTTTTGTTCATTCATGTAGAAAACTTTATTCTTTTCGACTCAAGATACTTGAGCTTCTAAGTAACGTATAATAGATTGTTTTGGCTAGTTTTTTTTGGGGGATGAAGCACGCGCGCGCGCGCGCACACACACACACACATATATATATATATATATACATATATAGTTTTCTTTATTTTTTATGCAATTTTACCAGTTTATAAATATTTACTATAATTATATTATTTTATAAAATATTAAAAATTAAAACCTATGGGGCTTACGCCCGGTGCCTCGGGGCTTACGCCTCGCTGAGGCATATGTAAAACGCCTCGCCTTACGCCTACGCTTTTTAAAACACTGATATTGAATATAAAGCCTTTTTTTCATGAAACATATTAAACGAAATTACTCTCTAATGAATTATGATATATATTTTTTTTGGTAATTATATTATATTTTATTTCATCAAAATTTCAATCATAACCATCGCAAAACCTGGAAAGCAGCAGTTTGGACATAAGTCTCAAACTTACTGCATATCATCTCTACACAGTCTCATCTACACAACTGTATTGCCTATGGATAAAAGTTCAAATTTTTCATACATCTATCCAATCTTCTAACTCTACAAGCTCTAATATGAATTTCTCTTGCTAATTGCTTAATCACTTGATCTGCAGACTATCCGTTAGCCTTGAAGATTCTTGCATTCCTTTCCTACCATAAGTGATATACTCCACCGGCTAGTGTATGACATATGTTGTTACCCCCTTTGATCTGTATTATTGGTATTTGAATGTGTGTTAAATTAATTATTTGAATTACTATGATATTAATGAAAGCAAATGAATTATTTAAAGTAATAAAAACTTACTTTGATTCAGAAAATATCTCAAAAACAAATTGAACTGCAAATAGTTTAATATTTTGAAAATTTAAAAAATATTAATTTGTGGAAAAATAAAGCTGGCTAAAGTATTTTTTTAGATAGCTTCGAAAAATAAAAGAGTATAATCGTGTTACTCTAATCACAACTCACAAGACTCATGTTACCTATCTATGTTCACATCTCAGAATAGATTAAAAACTGTACTTTGCAACTTGAAGAGTTAATCAAATGGGTTAGCGCATTTTTTTGCGTGCAGTCAAATTTAATAGGCTAGCGATTGTCTTAATTTAGTGTTGAACGGTCATAAATGAAGTTTGCTCTTTAAAATTCGTATCGCATACGGTTACTTAAAGGTGAATTCATCCCCTCACAATATCGGTAAAATGGACAAAGGTTGTTAATAGTAGTCCTTTACTAAATATTGAGCGATGACTTTGTCGATTTTAGTATACAAATTTATAATTACCGGGGTGAGCTCATAGCCACAAAGTTGATTATAGCTTTCTTTGCAAAAATGGACACGAGGAGCACTAACATGTATCCCCAACGTTAGTTGTATCACATTAATATTTTAGCCAGACCTATCACCTATATCGCTTTAAAAAATTAAAATTTGTGGCCCCGCTTAACCATGCTCGTGCTCGTAAAGAAAAGGATAGAGTGCAAGGAATGTAGCCCACTGAAGAGTATAACAAAGAAGGAACAAAACCCACTACTTTCTTGATTTTTATGTAGCTTTTTCAGATGGCTTCTCCAGTCAAAGTATATGGACCGACTTTGTCAACTGCAGTCTCAAGAGTTCTAGCTTGTCTTCTTGAAAAAGATGTCCACTTTCAGCTTCTCCCAGTTAATATGGCCAAAGGGGAACATAAGAAACCTGACTATCTCAAAATTCAGGTAAGTGTTTAGACTCTGTTTTTTTTTTTTGAAACAATTTATCTACTCTGTTTATCTCTTAATATTATCCTAATTTTAAACAGCCCTTTGGACAAGTCCCAGCTTTTCAAGACGAGAACATCACTCTGTTTGGTAATTACACTTCTAGTCCTATATCTTCCCCATTTTCTAAATACACCTGTCCTCCCAAACTTGCAGCATACAGCCCTGGAAGTATGGGTGGAAAACTCTCTTGGCAGTTCCAGTCTAAAATTTGGATTTTTAAACTGCATTTGCCAAGAATTCTTGGATTATATGGTAGGATGTACTGGTGCACAATTTGTGTCTTGTTCTTTTTGTATGGTTATGCTAGGAGCGGCAAACGGGTGTGTCGGGTCGGATATGATTCGGGTCGAAGGCGGGTAACAAAAAAACGGATAAATTATCCGACCAGACCCATATTTAATAAGGATAAAAAAGGGTTAACTGACTGATAATATGGGTAACTATATTTTTCATAACTTTTTGCATATGATCACTTTTGGGAGAATTCTTATAGCCTGTTTGGCCAAGCTTATTTTTTGCCAAAAGTATTTTTTTTTTTTTTGCCAAAAGCACTTTTGGCCAAAAATTGAGGTGTTTGGCCAAGCTTCTAGAAGGAAAAAAAGTACTTTTGAGGAGAAGCAGAAGCAGTTTTGGAGAAGCAGAAAAAAGTAGCTTCTCTCCAAAAGTACTTTTTTGAGAAACACTTTTGAGAAAAATACACTTAGAAGCAGTTTTTTAAAGCTTGGTCAAACACTAATTGCTGCTTAAAAGTGTTTTTCAAACTAATTAGCCAAACACAAACTGCTTCTCACCAAAAGTACTTTTGAGAAAAGCACTTTTGAAAAAAAACACTTCTCAAAATAAGTTGATTTTTGCAGTTTGGCCAAACGGGCTATTAGTCTCCCTAACTTGAGGAACCCCCAATTTGAGCCTTTATAAATATAAAAGTTAGACCTATTGGTTATCCATTTTCAAAATGGATAATATGACTCTTATCCATATTTGACCCGTTTAGAAAAAGTTCATTATCCAACCCATTTTTTAGTGGATAATATGGGTGGTTGTTTTCTTTTAACCATTTTGCCCCTCCTAGGTTATACTAAGATGGAATTTGGGTCTTACACTGTTGTTGATGATGCTTATTATAATAAGCAATGATGTTTTATACTTCAATGCCACACAAGAAAGGTGCTTAGTATGGTACCCAATTTTCGCGTGCACTGATTTATTGAAGAACCTGGTTCTTTATGTATTTTTATACCACAGTTGCAGAATAAAGTGATGCATAAAGTAAAGAATACAGTGATTTTTACATGGAAAACACTCGGCTCACAAGGTGAAAATCACGACCTACTATCCAGTAGGATTTTTCCCAAACATTTCATTAAACTCATCAAACTCATTTGCTTCAGTATGTGTTAGTAAAAGAGAACACCGCTGATATATATGAAGTTAGTAAATAAAGAGTAACTAGAAGTCTATTGCCTTACTTCCTTGGTGAAAGAGTTCTAAATAACTTTAACCTTATCTTGGATAAAGTTCTCTTCAAATGAGAAGACCTGCTCCTTATCACATATGCAATCTTTTGGTTCAGGGTTTATCATAAATAACCACTTATACTTATCCCTTTCACGTGCAGACCTTTTGCTTGTTTCCAACTGTAATCTGTATACTGTAGGGTTCATGCATCATGCATGTATTCCATTGTCAATCAACAAGAAATTTGGGTTTACTTTCCAAAACATGATACTACTTGATGATACTTATCCTGTATAGTTATACTAGTATGAATGACCCGGTCTTGCATTGTTGTTCATGATGCTTACACATACTAGTATGCAAATTTGTGTATTTAAACTGTTTCATAATGCTTATATATGGAATTTAGTTCTTTCGTTGTTGCTCACGATACTTATGCTAGTGTGGATTTGGGTCTTAATTGCTGTTCATGATGTTTATTAATATGGAATTAAGGTTTTATAACGTGTTGATGATGATTATAATGGTATGGAGTTTGTTTTTTACATTGTTTTCTGTCTTGTGTTTGGTAAACCCAGAATCCAGATCTATAAATAGGTACATATGTGACAAATATGGACATCAAGGGAACAAGGGGCTGTACGGAACAAACCCGTTAGAGAAAGCATCTATAGATCAATGGATAGAAGCAGAAGGACAAAGCTTCAATCCGCCAAGTTCAATTCTCGTATTCCAATTGGCTTTTGCACCGCGAATGAAGATCAAACAAGACAAGAACTTGATCAGACAGAATGAAGAGAAGCTAAAAAAAGTGCTTGATGTGTATGAGAAGAGGCTTGGTGAGAATCAGTACTTGGCCGGAGATGAGTTCACATTGGCCGATCTCTCTCACCTTCCAAACATCCAATATTTGGTAAACGGGACAGATAGAGCAGAGCTCTTCACTTCAAGAAAGAACGTGGGAAGGTGGTGGGATGAGATATCTAGCAGAGAATCGTGGAAGAAGGTAGTTGAAATGCAGACCTCACCCCCTCCCTCATAAGACTTGCTGAAACCATTTGTTTTTCAAAGAGTGTATTGCTCTGTTGTTTGTCATGTTGCGAGTTTTATGTTCTCCGGCTAGACTAACTACATCTACATCTGTGGGTTGAATAATGATTACTAGTTTATACTCTCTACAGCTACATTTGTAGGTTTAATAATGATAGTCTACAAACAGATCAAGGCGATTATCGTGAAGTTTATTTGAGATGTGATCACAATATTCTGGACTTGTTATGAATCAATCCCAGCAACTCTCCTACAAGAAAGTTATTGTTTTTTCTCAGAAAGATTAATTTGTGCTACCCTACATCTTAAGGTTTATCAAATAAACACATTCTCGAATATCTTTAGATCCTACTTGCTCTGTCTCTTGTGGATAAAAGGCAGTGTCCATTTTCTTTTATAGAAGTGTCAAAGTGTTGTGGACATCAGCTGTCCCAGTGTTTGATCCTCCGGTTACATCCTAATGCCAAAAAAGATATATTTCTGATAAAATTTGTAGAAGTATGCCGGAAGTTTGATAAACAAGACCATCTTATAAGCATGAGATTCGTCTAGGAAAACACATGCAAAAAGCTGCATTTTTCGAAATAGTTCTGGACTAGTTTACATCAGCTAGAGCAATGTTTGATCCGCGAAACTTTTGAACTACATTGCAATGCAATATTTACATGTTGATCTCCTCATGCACAATGAACTACGTTCGCTTCTCCTTTTCTTCTGCCAGTCACCTTTAGTAGCAGGATGTGATCTGCATTCTTTCTTTATACTCCTTCATTTCCTTCTGGTACCTTTCCTTGTCTTTCACCCCATAGTTTTGATAGACCTGTAAAAACTAACAATCAGCATCAAACTCTAACAACGTCCCTATGTAATCTAATTTTGCTTTAATGATCGAGTTTGAGTATAAAGCAACTAAGCCTCAATCCCAAACAAGTTGAGGTTGGTTGTATGAATCCAACTGATTCTCAATTTAAGATGAATCCTCATAGTACAGAATGATCGAGTTTGAGTATGATTACCATTTTTTCTTCAGGAGAGAGATTGTTCCAAGATTCTCCAATCATCTTTGTGAATTCCCTCTCTCTACTTGGATAGAGAGATTTGAGCATGGAATGTTTTTCAGCAAAGAAGAAGTTGTATCCACTCCTATTAGGTTTCGGGCGATTAGGATCTCCTCCCTTCCTCCTCCTGTTCCTCCGTCCTGAATGGTGGTGAGGTGGTGGATTGTAAGGTACAATTGCAGTGCAATTCTGTGCAGTTGGTTTAGAAGAAGAGGGAGCAGCAGGTTGGTTTGGATGGTAAAGTACTCCATTGAGAACCTCAGATCCCATTTTGATGGACACCAAATAACCACAGTCAAATTTGCCATCAATTGTCCCTTCAGCTTGGAAACTCTGTGAAGCTAAGTACACAAGAAAATTCAGAACACCCAATGCGATCAACCATTGAATATTGTAGTACTAACATTTTACCCAGAAAAAACATTCTATTAATTTGAAAGAGCTATTGTGTGATAAAAGTACTATGTAAGATCATATAGGGAAAATAATGCATGTATTAGCTTTGATATTATTAATCCCTTATTTGGTAGTGTTTTTCAACCTATGTATACACTCTATTCAGTACTATTCTTATACATAGCAAACCATGACATTAACGATACCATGGTATTTACTACGTGGATAAGCACGTATAAAGACAAAACCATCCTTTCAAACAATACATGGATAAGCATGTGGAGCGTCTTTTTGTAAGCAAATAATTTTTAAAAAAATTATGTAATGCATGTTATTTTTAATATATTAAACCAAAGAGTCGATAAGAAATAATCTTAGCATAACTAATCTCAGCATTATTAATAACAACATCACTAATACATCCTATTTAGTAGTATTCTTGTACTCCCTACAAACGAACCCTAAGATTGTAAGTCTTGCTTGTAATAATGTAGTGTGACAACATTTATTTGGTTACTGAAAAATCTTAAAGCTGGTTAAACGAAATTCAATATAACGCAGAGAAAGTAGTGAAGATATATTTGCTCCAACCAATTATCCATTTATATGTAAGTGATAAAATTGCAGGAATAGGCCTCTCATAGTCCAATGTTAGATGGACACAGCTAGGGTATATATCTATTTTAGGTGTGTAAGTATTTGATGTGGATATATGAAACTTTTTCCTTATAAATTTTACTGTACTAATTTTAGGATATGTGTTTTGCGCGTGTACCCTGAATAAGTAAAATTTTAAAGTAATTATATTAAAAGTAATATTTGAGTTATAAAGTAAAAGCGAAAGAAAAAAGTGTAAATTTCTGAAAATTATGATTGAATTTAAAACCCTGATTTTATTGTGCTAATGTATATTATTAAGAATCTACAACAACAACAACCCAGTAGAGCTCCACAAGTGGGGTCTAGTGAGAGTAGTGTGTACCCAGGCCTTACTCCTACTCTGGGAAAATAAAGAGATTATTTCTGATAGACTCTCGGCTCAAGAAGATATATATTAAGGATCTAAATACCTGAAATATAGCATCTATACTATATTAAAAGCACGAAGGCCCTTAGCGAAATGTCGTTTGCCTTTTTTATCCTTTTAAAATAGAGCTCACACTAGACAAAATAGTCATTTAATTATTATCTTCATATTTAGGTGTACACAAATAATTTTCTTAGTATTACGTAGTGTGTACACAAATTATTTTACACAATAAGAGCAATTGCCGTGAAAGAAATAAGAAAATAGAGAAAAATTTATTATAATATAGTATTAAAAGTTAAATTGCTAAAATATTAAGTTGAAGCAATAAGGATATAACCCAAGACAAAAAAAAAATCACAAAAATTACCCTTATCATTTTTCTTTCTTTTTATATTTATTTTAATAAATGTAGCTCCCTATATTTTTCATATCGTATTACATCATTTTTTATAATTCAATATTAGCTATTTCATACTTTATATTGTTATTTATCTATGGGTTTCTAGGAGCTATAGTTCTATCTCTACGCTCACAAATTTCTAAAAGACCCAAAGATTCAAATTCTTCAATTTATTTTATTATCTTTGAATAATTATTTTAAAGTATTTTTTTGTTATTTGTTTATAGTATTTGGTAATAAAGATAACAATAATTTTCATAAGATATATATTATCTCATAAATCATAATAAGATATATAAAGACTTATGTGGCGTAGCATTTCTTTGTTTAATGAGCTAGCTTAGTGAGAATAACATTCATTATATTTAGAAACTTACATTTTCTTTCTTTGATATTTTTTCAATAACTAAAACACATTATTGAATAATATATATATATATATAATTTTTAAAAATTATATATTTATTGATATAGGTACACGCGCAAAGCGCGTACCCTAATACTAGTATTATAAAAAGACATTAGAAGGAAAGTAACCCAAAAAAAGTTGTAAGAAACTAAAGCAAACATTTCAAAATCAAGTTTAAAATTAAGTCCTACTTTTAAATACGACATGTAATAAAATAATTAGACAAACTTGCAAAAAATTAATTGGCTTAATATCATTTAAAATTTCAAGAGAGAATTCAACCTGAGCTTAATGCTCGAAAACAATAAGGGATTAGCTCAAGTAGTACTAAAAAAGGTGCTGATGGTAGTGGGACTCCTGCAGGTTAACGAAAAAAAGAAAATTACAATTATTTTTCTTTAATTGTTATCAATAATTTGATGTTCCTTTTAATATTGCCAAATATAATGAGTATTTTACTTATATATCCTATGTGTGCCTATTTTTAGTACTAACTTCAAAGTAGTGCTATCTGACCAAAAAAGTAGTACAATATAAATATGAGTTCTTAATTTCTAAGTGTTGAATGATTAAAAAATATTATAGTTTACTACAAATTTAATATTATTGAGCTTTAAATAGGAAAATTTGTATAAAATAAAAATTTAATTGCTCTTAGAATCCTAAATATTAGGATTCTCTACATAATTCCAATACGAAAAAATAATAATAAGAATTATAGTTGATTACAATGTCCTAAATATTATGAAAATAAATAAATAAGTATTCCTATATATTAGGAAAATATTTAAATTATTATTTTGTCCGATGTGAACTCTACTTTTAAAGGGTAAAAAAGGCGAACGATATTTCGCTAAGGACCTTCGTGCTTTTAATATAGTATAGATAGATATAGATATAGATTTGAAAAAGTCGCATGAGGCAGATATGTATGGAGTTTGGTTCATTGTATTTCGCTAAGGGTCTTCGTGCTTTTAATATATATATATATATATGAAAAATTAAAGAAATTTTAAGAAGTCAACAAATTCTAAACTCATAATTTTAACAATAGATTCAATGGCAATAGTTTAACGGTTGAAACCATGACGTTTGAAATTTGGAATTCGTGGATGTATGCACACCTACATTACACATCTTTGGCATAGATACATCAAGATAAATGCAAGAATTAATGGAACATAACTCGTATACAAATTGAAATATCGGAGGGTTGATTTGACTTAAAAGGAACTCGAGTTAAATAGAATTTTGAGAGGCAAAAAGGTCGAATCAATGAGTAGGATCTCAAATAGAAAAAAATTGTATTTCAAAAGTAGAAAATTACCGATCAGAAAATCTGCACCTCAAATGTACAAATCCACGAGAACAATTTAGCACCACAAGAAAGACGAGAAGACAAACAAAATAAAAAATAACTTGAGGTATGAAATTCAAGATCGTCCTTCATGCCTATAATAACAATAATATTCTATAAAATATTTGTAAAGTTTGAAATACAAGGGTTTAAGGACCCGTTTATCCATTAAAAAAATTTCTTTTTCGATTATTTTTTCAAAAATGTGTTTCTCCGTGAATTTTTGCAAATTTTTGAAAATATTTCGAAAAAAAAAATTCTCCACTTACATAATTGCAACATTTTTTCAAATAAATTGCATGTTCAAACATAATTTCAAATTCCAAATACCATTTTTCAATTTAACTTCAAATACTACTTTTTTGCAAAAATTATATTTCTTATGTCCAAACGCCAACTAAATATCATATTTTCGATCTTAATTCAAACATTCATTCTTGAATTTTTGAAATAAAAATTTGCTGTTGTATAATTTTAATTTAAAAATATTATAAAGAATATCAAAAGACCCTAGTAAAAAATTTAAGTAGTACTAGTAGATGAATAGCAAAAAGAAAAGTTTCTGCACGCCAGAATTCAAGCAATAAATTAAAACTTATATCCTATGTCTCGAAGTCTACGACGCATGACACGTGGCAGAATGTAGCTCCTCTAATTACTCCTCCGAGGAGACGACTTGGGGAGAGGTGGAAAACTAGAAATTGAATCCATCTGGTAGTAAAAGGTCAAATTGAATTCAAGCAATAATTTATGCGGTCAAAGTTATACACATTAGAATTTTACTGACCTGGAGTTTTGTCAAGCAAGGGAGCTTCACGTCTAAAAAAGTAAACTTGTTCAAACCGATGAAGCAAAGTGAAATAGTGTTTCCTCAGTGCATATGAAGCACTAGTTGTGGTTGGAGAAAACTTGAATACTGAACTCAATTCTCTCCATTTCTTCTCATCCACAACCTATACCACCATTCATATATACGCAAAAATAAATTATAAATGAAATAAAATATAGTAATAAAAGAGAAACATTTTATTTTAAGTGGAAGCTGAACCTTGTCAAAGCCACCCCTTTTAGTCACCTCTACATAGAGAACATGCAAATCTAGCTCCTTCCCTCCAATCACAGGAACCCTTCAACAAAAACCAATTCAAAGATTAAATAAACACAACCTTCCCATGTTGTCTCTTTCTCCTTCTTTTTTTAATTAGTATTTAGGTGGCGGAATCATAATTTAAATCATTTAGCTCTGATCTAGTGTCAAAATATATATCTAACTCTATTTACTTTTCGCACACATATATGTAAATAATTATTTTTCTCACATATATATAGGATTTGGTCCAGAAAATTGATTCTATCAAACCCGAAAACTTCCATCACGGTAATTTCTTAGAGTAAGAATGTAACAAAAAATTAAAAAATAAGTTGCTTACGTGTACTTTGTTCCCATGACAGAGTGGAAATTCTTGACACACTCCCTGAACAGATTTTGGTCATTAACAATGTTCTCATGTGAAGCCAGTGGTTGAGGATACAGCTGACCGCCATTTCTGTTGCCGGTGCCGGCGGGAACCATAGCTTTCTGAGACATGGGTTCACCTTGCCGCCGGCGACTGATAACACATTCAGCAAGCTGTAACCTTCGCCGGAAAATCAAGAAACAGTGAAGGGAGGTAGCTAGCTAGTAATGGGTGAAAACTTTGAGGAAAGGGGTTAGTTTAAAAACAGCTAAAGAAGCCAAATAAAAAGAGATAAATACAAAGATAAGTTGGTACTTAAGAAGACAATAAAAGCTCGGAGTTTTTGAGACGCGTGTTGAAGCAACGGTTATATGCAGAGATAGTTTTCTAACTTTGGCTTCTTCTTCTTCTTCTTTCTCTCTTGAGTTGAATCTCAGTGGGCAAAGGCAAAGTACATTAAATTTTTGGCACAGGCTAAGCTTATTCATTAATTAATGCTCTTAATATTTTTTGTATCTCTTTGCTTGTTGTATTGTCCAAAGTGTACTGTACAATTCTGGTGTAATATGAAAACTCCAAGTCCAACGCAATACAAAGTTTTGATAGGTATTGCTGTAATAATAGGTTCTGATCAAATCTTTACGTACGCAATAGGTGAATATATGCTGCAGGTTCTTTTTGGCCTCTGCTTACGTAAAGTACTATGCTTCATCTAATCCAATCTGCTTCAATTAAGTACCAGTTATCTGTCATCACTTTTTCCTTTTTATTTTTCGGCTCCAGCTTTATGTTTTCTCGTAGTACTTCCTCGATTTCAGTTTATTTGAATCTATTTCTTTTTTAGTCCGTTTTAAAAAGAATAACTTTTTTTTAAAATTTAGAAATAATTAAACTTAAACTTTCAATTCTACCCTTAACGAGAAACTTTTATAACCACACAAATACTCTGAATCCTATTTTGACTTGTTTAAAATCACAAATTCCAAAAATCTTCATTTTTTCTTAAATTCCGTGCTCAGTCAAACAGGTACACATAAATTGAAACAGAAGAAATATTGCCAATGGTTGAAGGTTTTATTTCTATTTTAGTTTTTCTATTACATTTTGCATCAAATGTCCTAGTGGAAGTCATCTCAAATATTATGTGAAAGTTCCCTAATTGAAGAAGATATTCTTCAAAATAAAATTAATTAAAAAAAAAGCAAAATGTTAGGAAGATGGGCAATCAGGCAAATTATTTTTTGTTCTATCAATGAAACATAATTTAAAATAATTGTGGAAAAAAATAAAAATAAAAGAGGCTAGCATAGTATCGCAAACTAATAAGGAGATTCTATTATTCTGACATCAAATTTTTTAATATAAACGATGCAAAACCTGAGAAAGATCATTGTAATTATCCTTAAAAAATTAAAAGAAAAGGGCAAAAACTAATCAAACATATTGCTTCCTTCTTTAATTTAATTGGATTTTCATTCTTTCTTCTTTGGGTCGTTGTACTATTCTATCAACTTTTAGTTTACTATCTAATTCCGCAATTCTAGCCGAAAAGTTCATATAAGCTAGTTTGATCAGCTTATAAATTTAGTCAAACTTCCTCTATATCTCTAATTTCCTTTTAAAATGTAGTACAAGTAACACCAAATATACTTTTACGAAAAAAAGAAAAGAAAAAAGACTACAGCATTCACTTTAGGCTCATATGGTTGTTTTAATTATTTACTTTCAGGAAAAACATAGATGTTTTTATGGTTCCTCATTTATGCTAGTTTAGTTAGTTTCAATCTCATTAACTGTGTATATACAAAATTGTAATGTCAGACTAACAGTATAGTAAAAGAAATAGTAGATTATTATTCAAGCCACAGCAGGACACATCATTATGCTTTTATTAAATGTATTTCCTTTTCTTTTTCCTTAAAACATCCAAAATGAAGGGCTTGGCCCTCTTGATTGTTACATATTTCTAGCTATCCTTGGGGGAAAATGAAGGAAATGACATTAATACATTAATGAAGAGCATAAATATAATATGTAAAATTCGTTGAGCCTTTCAAATGTGAGCATGTTTGGGTGGTTAATATTGTCTTTGGTTGATATGCTTCAACGTCACTCATTTTTATTATCTTATGCTCTTATCAAATTTTGTATATATATGTCATCTTCATGGGATTAATTTGCAGCCTCTCAGCAAAGTGATATGACACTCCACAACTTTAGAGTAATTCTTATTTGGTAAATTAATTGCAGATTCTTAAATGATGGACACAGCTTATTCAGAACTCCCTCATTTCATTACAATTTACAAGTACGCATTTTTTACTTTTATTTTTGTGCCATATAGTATTTATGGTACTGTATGTTGGACTTATATACATTGACAATGTAAGGTAATTTATAATTTGATGCTTTTAACCAATTGTATCAGTTACATGTCTTATTTCTCATGTAACGAATTTCACCGATAATATTCTTTCAAGTGATAAAAGAAATTTATATTGTGTGTGTATACAACTAAACCTTCTATTTAAACTAAGGCCGAATTTTCGGTATTTGTACCAATTCCATGATTAATTCTGCTTTTATAAAAATATAGGAAACGTACCTTTGCGATGCGCAGATCGTATCAATAAATATTAAATTATGATCGGGTTTATTTAAACATATTAAATTGTACCGTTTCGTTAAATTTTTACGATTATTTATCAATAATCAACAATATTTTTTGTGTTATTTACTTCATTTTATTTAAAAAATTAAAGTATAACATCGCTATTATTTCTATCTCCTGCTTTATGCATTTTTCCTATTTATTTTATCGATAAATCTTTTCTCCGGTCAGTTACCTATAATTTAAATAATACAATATGTAAAATATAATTGAAACTTTGAATTCTACAGTAATGAGATAATAATCCTAGTTCTTTGACACATTGGTAAAATACGAAATTGAATTGATACATGCTTAAAGTTAAAACTTTTGGTAACTAACTTTATGAAGAAATCATAAAGTGAAAGCTAATAAATTGTGGCAAAAAAAATAATTCAACCAATTCATGCACTGATAATATGACTTTTGTTTGGCGTAAGTTTCACAATTTTTTCCTCCATAAGTTTATTATGTAGATAGACTTTTTGACTTTGATGTAGCTAATGAGTCATACTGTCACGATCCGGATTTTCCACCATCGGGAATCGTGATGGCGCCTACTCGTGAAAACTAGGCAAGTCGAGTGTGATAGAATTTTATTACCTTTTTTCCTTAACTTTCAATAGTTACAAGTTAACATATGATCATCAACGGAATAATAATAATAAGGGAAGTGCGGAAGACAAAATCTAATAGTTTAACTTAATACAAATACGATTCCATAACAATAATCCACCCAGAACTGGTATCACAATTTCACGGACTATCTAAGATTACTACAAATAAGGTCCGAACAAAGATAATACATGTCGGTCTCTGAAATAAATAGGAACATAAAGAAAATAGGGTAGAAGGGGACGCCAAGGCCTGCGGACGTATGCAGGAGTACCTCGGGCCTCCGCTGGACTGAAGGCAGCAACCTCACTATGGTCAAAATACTCCAGCACCGGGAGCTGCACATAGTGTAGAGTGTAGTATCAACACAACCGATCTCATGTGCTGGTAAGTGTTGAGCCTAACCTCGGCAAAGTAGTGATGAGGCTAGGACAAGACTACTAAATAAATTTGTGCAATTAAATCATGTACGGCAAATAATAATAATAGAAACTATCAGTTAAATAAAGAAGAAAATATAACAAATCATATTGGAGCCACTCTAATTTAGTCATCTTTGTAAATTTCACAACACATCACTTCTATCATAAATTGCTAAAACTACTGACCCAGAAGGAAAAAATCTACAAAAGACAATGCTAAAAATTAATACTAACATCTACTACTAAATGGCATTTGAAAATAAACTTAATTATTTCCTTGATCAATATTAAGCCTTTTTAAATCAGAATACGTGTCAATGTAAGACAACACAATCAAAAAGAGAAAGAAGAACAAACATTTGTTGACTTGATAATTTCACATGACAACCACAATTATTGTATAAAATTAGAAATATAATAAATTTCGTGTAGCATATCATGTAATATTATAGTCATTCACTTTAGCACTCAAATTTAACTAAATAAGTGCATAACAATTTAGGCTAAATGAAATATAAGATTTACATTTCAAATAAAATGAAAAAAATAGCTCTATTTTTGTTCAGAAATTTGTTGGCTCGTGAAAGCAGTCATCTGCTAGAACTCTTATTTCAGATTTAGAACTTTTATTACCAAGACGAACTTCAAAATTTTAATATAGAAGAATCAATTTCTCATTTCATGTTCAACGAATACAACTATAATTAAAATCCGTTTATTTATTATTTGCACAACAAAATTTTATTATCCATCTCTTTACCCCTTTCCTTAATTAATGTATCTCGACAAAAACTTCGAAAAAGGATGAACTATTATTGGGAATTTTTAAACAAATCAAAGAAAAAAGAAAAAGAACGTACTTTTGTATAAAAACCACAAATAGACATTAAAATAGTCACTATAATTACATTCTGCGTGTATACAATACCGTTATGCACATTTCAAAGTATTTAAGGTAAAATTTAATTTAAAAAGATTTTGTGAGAAGAGCAACAGAGAAAATTTACTTGGTCGTAAGCATTGCGCCAAGTGTAACAACCCGAACGATCGTTTTGAGCATTTGCAATTCGCTTGGTAGTTTGGGGGTACGAGTAGCTCTGTATGATATATTAGTCGTTTTGAGCATTTGCACTAGTTTTTGGAAGTCGAAAGTTCATTAAGTTTGATTTGAGGTGTGTTTCATCATTTTGATGTTGTTATGCGTGATTTGAGGTCTCGAGTCAGTGTTATATTATGGAACTTGTTGGTATATTCATACGAGGTCCCGAGGGGCTTGGGTGAGTGTCACGACCTCAAAACCAACCTGATCGTAATGGCGCCTATCATGAAACTAGGCCAGCTGACACCTTCCCAAACTAATTCGACATTTCATAATAAAGATGGTTTTAAGATATTAATTAATAAAACTTCACAGCATAAGTCTAAATAACAAAGTGCGGAAAGAAACAAAAGCCCGACATCGGGATATCACAAGTCACGAGCATCTACTAAGGACTATCCGATAACATCTAAGACTATTACAGTCTGGAAAACACTAATATAGTCTACAGGAAGATACGAGGATGAAGAGCAAGGCTGCGATCGCCATGCAGCCACCTTGCCAACTTCGAGATATCCGCGACGGATGAAAGATCAGTGCTCGCTATCACGTCCAGCAACCCCTAAATCTGCATACAAGGTGCAGGGAGTAATATGAGTACGTCAACTCAGTAAGTAATAAAAGTAAATAAAGACTGAGCAGTAACAAACACATAAATTCACTTCATGAAATCTGAGTAAATACATCATGCTTTCAAATCAGTATATAAGTCAAATCATCTCGTTTAAAATTCAATTTTGGCCAAAATCATTTGAAGATATTTTTCAACAGTTTCAAGAGAGGTTCAATGAGATTTAGAGTAAAAGTGATGAAAATCATAAATA